AAAAAATTTAAATATTAAAAAAATTAGTAAAAATCTTTGCAGGCAAATTTGCCTGTGTTACAATTTAAGGGATAAGTTGTATAACCTTAGCAGCTAACAAAACAGTTCTCTTTAAAAAAATCAATAATAAAATAAAAAAAAGCCAAAAACTGATCATCTGGAACCCAAGATATAAATGAATTAAACAGCTCAGAAGTATAGGCAAAAAAGTGTTAAAAAACTTGAACAGCAAAATCGAACTAGAAGATTAACAATCAATAAATATCCAAATCAACCTTGTAAATATTTATTATATAATACAAGGCAGTATTATATATAAAGACTATGAGATAAACACTATGAGATAAACACTATGAGACAAAAATACAATCTGATTGGCTACTGCTATAACACATAATTCCTATAATTGTTGCACAAATTTGAACATAATACGTATCGATAGTATTGTGGATGCATATAGGTTTTCTGTGCCAGGTTATGTCGATCATGTCAATCATCACATGTAGATCCTTTTAATAAATTCAAACATTTTTTTAAAACTTCTAGCAATAATTTCTCTAACCATTTGATTAGTTTTGCTAATTTTTTTTTTATTTTAATTTCATAGGTTTGTGAAATGAAAATAAAAAAAAGTTTGTCGAATTTGGTTTTGTGGTTATCGAGAAATTATCAATAAACTTTTTAAAAAAACTTAAAATAGTTGGAAAAAAAAAGAGAATTTTTCATTCTTTTGAACTTTAAACAAAGATTTTTTGATGACTAACTTTTCAAATTTGATGAAAATTTTTTCATTTTAATTATGTAAATTTATAGAAATAAAATGAAAAATTTTTGCTTGGATTTAAATAGCTGGTTGTCAAGAAATGTTCATTTAAATTTGAAAAAAAATTTGGCCGCAGCTTTCTTTTTATAGACGCCTAAACTTTGAACAAGGATTACTCGGCACTTACTTGATCAAATTTGATCAAATTTTTTTTATTTTAATTCTATATTATAATAGAATTAAAATAAAAAAATTTTGATCAAATTTGACCAAGTAAGTGCCGAGTAATCCTTGTTCAAAGTTTAGGTGTCTATGCAAGGAAAGCTGTGGCCAAATTTTTTTTCAAATTTAAATAAATATTTTTCAACAACTAACTTAATTAAATTTTTTTTTATTTAATACTATGGTTTCATAAGATTAAAATAATTATAATTTGAGGTTTTAATACGATAATTATAGCAAGTTCACATATTAAATAAACTTTTTTTTTATAATCAAAAAAATGCCAAACCGTAATAATAAAATATGGAACATTTATCAATACAGATTCTACTTTTTCACAAAACTTACACTTATATTGGAATTGAAACATTATATCTAGCTATGAGCTTTTTATTTCAGAAATAAGAATAATTGCTTCATAATAAATGTGCTACAATTTTTAATGCAATTACACTATTTGGTTCAATTTATAATACTTATATGTAAGATTTTTTTAATACTAACTTCTCGGAAATTTTTAAAGCTAAAAATGATTATTAAGCCATTTATCAGAATTTAAAAAATGATAAAATTTTATCAGATATTTCTCAGGCTTAATAGCATATATCCAAATTTTAATTTTACTATAAAATAAAATATTTGGTAAAGTTAGAAATTCAGTTAAGATAAAATAATATATTATATAAAATTCCCTATGTTAAATGGTATGATTCGAATATCACTCAAACTGCCATTTGAACTACTATTCAACACTATCATATGACTTCACGGACATGCATGTCTGTGAAGTCACATGAAAGTGTTGAATAACAGTTCGAATATTAGTTTGAGTGATATTCGAATTATGCTATTCAATATGGCAAATCAAATATTATATTGACAATGTTTAATTTTTTAAATTACCAACCTCAGTTTGCATTACTCAAAACATTTTTGCTTAAGTTATGCTTCTTTTTACCTGTTTTTCTTGCTTTGTGTTTAGGAATGTTATGTGGATCATTTTCTTTACTAATTTTTTGCTTGACACTTGCACTTTCTACTTTCCTTCACTTTATTGATTCAACTTGAACAGGGATCTTTTTACCACCTTTAGTACGTGCTGAAGGGTCCAAATTATGATTTAGATCATAAAGAAAACTTGCTAATCGTGGAATTGATTGAGATTTTGCAGCTTCATATCGTTCAGCAAATTTATTGAGTGCTGTGCATAATTGAGGATTTTGTTTTTCATAATCTTCTTTGACTCCTTGCAAAAAATCAATAAATGAATCATTCACTTCATGTTTTAGGTTTTCAATTTTTTCAGAATTATTCTCCTCTTGTACAAATTTATTAAATTTAAGCAAATTATTTGCCTGATTTTGTGGTTTTTCTATTTTGAGTGAATTATTTGCTTGTTCTAACTTTTCAAGTTTATGCGAGTCTAATTCTTTAAATTTTCTATATTAAAATAATTTATTAATACATATATGAGTTAACTTTAATAAATAATAACTAATATAAAATAAATTTATATGTAGAATTAATATTTGTTAACCTTATATTTGATGAGGATATTTGACTTGTATCTTTAGTTATAGCAGGTTTTGAATATAATGATGCAAAAAAAGAGTAATCCATTGTATTTAATCCTTTTAAATTAAAAAATTAATGTTAATAAGTTATTAACAAAAAAATTTTTTTTTTATATGTTAATGTTACGTACCATTTGCAATATAAGAATAAATTCTGCGATCATTAGCTATAATTGCTGGTAAAAAATTAATTGCCCCAATATGGTATTTTGCCGCTACTGCATCCTGGCGTTTACAGGGTGCACCTGTTATTCTGGTAGGGCAGCTGCAGGTTCCAATTGCACTGTTAACTATATAGGTAAGATTTGATTTTTCACTTGAAACCTGATATTCATCTTTATTAATCAACTGAATTAAATTGGCATTGATATGCTCCCAGCCTGGACAAAAAAATCTTTTTGTGATTATATGACTCGCATGATTATATACAAATGCAAGTAACCTATGTTCATAAAATCTTTCCATATTATCTATAACAAATCGAAAAACTTGAACAGAATTAAAAGCTTGAGTTCTAGCAAATATAATATCCTTGAGTAATCCAAAGCTATACTCAATGTAATTATTTGTATGATTGCCACGTAATAAAAGATTAGATCTAAAAGAATGTGCCCAATATTGTCTACGGGTCCAAAGATGTTCAAAGTGTCTAATAAGTAATGGATATTGTTGATAAAAATTGCTTTTTAATTCTTGATAGCAAATTTCTATTTCAGATATAGTTTTTGCATAAAGGATTTTTTTTACATGATTCATAATCGATACTCGGTGCTCATTTTTAATATTATGTTTAGAATTATAGAGCCACTGCAGAACACCTGAAGAAAGTGAAATGTACATAAAAGCTAGTTTGATTGTGGCCAACTATACTTTAGTGCATTATGTTCTGCAGCTGAATCATCAGTTAGAAAAGTTTGTGGCCCAATATTAATACCATGATTAAAAAATACATGCATTGGTAAAATAGTTTTTAAAAGAGTTATAGCTCTCTTGATAGTGACTTCACGTTCATCAGATATTATAAAGAGGCCTAAAGGTAAAGTGCCTACAATGCAACTAGTATAAAATAATGTGATTGAAGTATTTAATGACTCAAATGATGCAGATGCATTGACATAACAAATTTCGCCTGCTTGTATAATTTGTTCATATACTCAACTCATTAACCCTGTGACAACACAAAGTACAAATGCCTTTCCAGTTTGGGAATTATATTCCTGAAAAACTGCTTGACCATGACCAGAGGCATTATAGTTTATAACTTCTTCATTTAAACGTTAAAACATTGATATTCTATTTTTTTTTACCAAGTTGAGAATCACAATAATGATTGAAGAGATTTTTTATATAATTATAATCAGGATTAAGAGAACGGTTAGCAAGAATTTTAACCAGTTCTTCATTTGATGAAATAGAAATATGAAGTTTATCTTGGTAAGTATACAATGCAGTTGCTGGAGAATGGCCATTATGAAATAGTTACATATATTTTGTATGTGTTTTGTTATGAACACGTCGAAAGCTAAGTGCTTCCGCAGAATTGATAACATGATTATGTTTAAAAATAAGATTAACCTCTAAAGGATAATTAGTAAAAGTATTACGATATTCTAATTTTAGGTTCATGCCAAACAATTAGTATTTCTGTTATGCATTGTTTGTATCCTTTTTATTTCAGGATTGCCTTGCTTATCTTTAACTTTTTTACTATAAATGCAATGCCGTGACTTATATAAAATTACCCGTTTTCTCTTAACACCATATCCTTTTGTTTGAGGCATAGTTGTTTTTAAATGTTCTTCAAAAGCTTTAAACCATAACTTGGTATCTTCTATAGTTGCAACATTAACAAACATGTTGACTTCAAATTGAGGTATCTCAAAATCTTCTTCAGTTCAATAAAAAGATACTTCAGTAAATTGTTGAATTAAATACATATAGTTTGGTGATAAAACGTTTTGGAGAGGACCTGGTAATAAATTTCAAGAGTATTCCTGAAAAAGTATTAATGTTAATTAATTTTTAATAAAAAAAATTATGCAAAGCCTATTTACATACATTCATATTTTCTTCTATATGTTCCATATTTTCTATGCACTCAGAGACTATTTCGTTGCTAACTTCACTGCTCATACTTATTATATGTATAAAATATATATTTAGATAACCAATTTCTCTATTTAGTTTTTTTTAGTAAATAATATTGCTCAAGGCCTATTTTATTAATGCACTTTTATTTTCTACAACTTATACACCTAACTACTCCTTTGTCGATTTCCTCTATTCACACACAAGTTTTGTTAATTTTCTCTATTCGTACACAAGTTTTGCTCAAGAAATTGAAATAAAAATTTAACTGTGAGAATAATTAAATCCCTATTTATTTTAATTATGCAAAATTACATCACCGACCTGTCAATATAAGCTCTTAATATCTATCATATTACGATCATCAATCTTATTATTCTGTGCTATTATTCTATCCCCTGTACTAAGATGCCCCAGCATTAAATTTCTTAATACTTATTATTATTATAGCTCTATAAAATTTCTTTTAATAATTTTGTTTCTTTGGCTACAACAAGAAAGTTTTTTTAGTGATTCTGTGATTCTTTTATTTAAGAAGTTTTCTAACATTTACGAATATATTAAAAAATAATTGCCACAGCTTCTTTTTTAAAGGCATCCAAACTTTAAATAATCAATTTTTTTATTTTAATTTTATAAAACCATAGTATTAAATAAAAAAAAATTTAATTAAGTTAGTTGTTGAAAAATATTCATTTAAATTTGAAAAAAAATTTGGCCGCAGCTTTTCTTGCATAGACATCTAAACTTTGAACAAGGATTACTCGGCACTTACTTGGTCAAATTTGATCAAATTTTTTTTATTTTAATTCCATGATAATATAGAATTAAAATAAAAAAAATTTGATCAAATTTGACCAAGTAAGTGCCGAGTAATCCTTGTTCAAAGTTTAGGCGTCTATAAAAGGAAAGTTGTGGCCAAATTTTTTTTCAAATTTAAATGAATATTTCTTGACAACCAGCTATCAAAAATTTTTCATTTTATTTCTATAAATTTACATAATTAAAATGAAAAAATTTTCATCAAATTTGAATAGTTGGTCATCGAATAATCTTTGTTTAAAGTTCAAAAGAATAAAAAATTCTCTTTTTTTTCTATTTTAAGTTTTTCTAAAAAGTTTATTGATAATTTCTCGATAACTACAAAACCGAATTCAACGAACTTTTTTTTATTTTCATTCTGCAAACCTATGGAATTAAAATAAAAAAAAAAAATAGCGAAACTGATTAAATGGTTATTGAGAAATTATCACTAGAAGTTTTAAAAAAACGTTCGAATTTATTAAAAGAATCTACACGTGATAATTGACATGATCGGTATAACCTGGCACAGAAAACCTATGTGCATGGCACTTTACGGTATTAGCACTCCGATTTATAATAACAATGCGTTTAACCCATTTTCCCATTAGCGCAAACCATGTATGAATGTACAATTTAATAGTTTGCAATGATCATAACATCGACAGTATTTTATGGATAACAGAAAATTTAAAAAGCATATCATCGTTAGATCAGAATAATAAGTACTATTTATTTCCTGCAGCGGCAAGAATAAGAGATAAATCCCCAATTAGCCGGGGGCCCAAAGGGCCCCTGGCTGATTGAGATTTCCCCCGCAGTGGGAAATAAGATTGTTATTCTTCATTTTATATGACGTCATGACGATGTTTTACAACTTATATAAATAAACTTTTTTTTTCATTAGTCTTTTTTTTTTAGCATTTTTTTTTTTTTTATCATACCCACCTTTTTAAAATGGATAATAATTCGTTTAAAGATTTCTTGCCGGTACATTTTTTTATTTATTATTCGTTTTAAATATTTGATATACACATAATTAATAAATAACAATAAGGGTTAATATTTTTCAAGGCTTCCAAGTTAGTTAATAGCATTAATATCATACAAGACTTACCTGACATAGCCAATGCTGTATCGCATGATATTTTTATCAATAACATGCCTAACACTAAATTAGTTAATTAATTTGAAGCTATAACTGAAAATACTATTAATGAGATGGTTGAATATAGTGCTGTTATAAATACCAAGAAGAATACTGATAATTGGGTTCAAGTTTTAAAGAGTATCGATCTTCAGCTAATTTGGATTATGACATAACTACGATTCTTAATACGATGCAATTAGAACGAGAATTGATCCAGTTTTTTGGGGTTTACATTGCAAGGATAAAGAACCTTATTCTCCAAAATCTATTTATAATTGTTATTGTGCGATTGCTCATTATTTGAAAGACAATT